AGCAATCCACACCCACCTCAGCCTCCCACAGTGCTAGTATTACAGGCGTAAGCCCAGCCTTGTACTTTCTGCTCAATCTTGTTGTGAAACTAAAACTGTTCTAAAAATAAATTATAATTAAAATAATACAATAAAAACTTTGGGCTACAGTCCAAAAATCCTTAATTTACTTCAGACCCTTATAATATGACTCCCCATTTTTGTCTATAGCCTTATATTCTATTACCTTCTAATACCACACCTACAGATCAATTGGTCCAAACTACTTCTCATTCCTTGAGTGCATGATCATCCATTCAAGATTTTATACTATTCCTTGCCCAAAATACCCTTTCTTTACTCAACTTTCAATTCAGCTCAGATTCACTTTCTCTATGCAGCCTTTCCTAACTCTCCCAAGCTAAAGTGAGTATTGCCTCTATGTTACTATTATAACCAGTACATACCTTTGTTATAATACATTTTTTTGGTAGTTTTTGGCTGGGGTTGGGTTTGAACCCACCACTTCCAGCATATGGGGCCAACGCCCTATTCCTTTGAGCCACAGGCACCACCGTGTGATAATACTTTTAATTGTTTTTGTTTCATACTACTGATTTCCTTGAGGATAGCATAATATTTTACTATGTAAAAATTTAATGAAGACACTTCACTAAATATTTGTAAACAAGAGAACAATTCCAATTTCAAGTATTCTATTAAGAACAGCACTGAGAAGTCATAAAATTATATTTCATTCATCCAAATGTGACCCTAAATTTGAGCAAGTTAGCAAGCAGAAAGTTCTTGAAGAATAAATGTTAACTTAATCACTTAGATCTCAACAACAGCAACAACTTTCCAGGGCAACAGAAAAAGACAACATATTGTAGTCCTGAATTCCTAACCCAGGGTACAACAGTTCCTAAGAGTTAAAACCCACACTAATAGCTGGCTATACACAATGGTAAGGAAAGCTCAGGATTAGGGCTTTTTTGCGGGGGAGGGGAGAGGAGACCCATAACTTGTATCAGTTCTCAGAGGACCCCATGACTTCAAAATTGTTAAGAATCACTGATTTATACTGATGAAGTAGATACCTCAAAGAGTATTTTAGTAGTTCTAAGGGAGGAAATTTAAATAAAATATTAAAAATATTATACTGGCTCAGTGCCTGTGGCTCAAGTGGCTAAGGCGCCAGCCACATACACCTAAGGTGGCGGGTTCGAATCCCCAGCCGGGCTGCCAAACAACGATGATGGCTGCACCCAAAAAAATGGCCAGGTGTGGTGGGCGCCTGTTGTCCCAGTTACTTGGGAGGCTGAGGCAGGAGACTCGCTTGAGCCCAGGAGTTGGAGGTTGCTGTGAGTGTGATGCCATGGCACTCTACCCAGGGGGATAGCTTGAGGCTCCATCTAAAAAAAAAAAAAAATACTATACTATACATTTCACATGTATTATATTTAAATTGAAAATATGATTTAAAAATATTTATGTATCCACTATTTATAATTTATTTGATCTCTCCAACTAAGTACAAATTAAGTTGCTTAAAAATACCAAAGCCACAGAGGAAAGGCTCTCCTGAATCTAAGAGCCACAGGAAGAAAATGAGCAACGGCAGATTTAAAAGCTGCACCTTCTGACAGCTAAGAATAAAAAAAAGTTAAACTCTCACAGAAGCAAAAAGTTACGGTATTCAAACATTTATAATATAGGAATAGGTTAAGTTCATTAAAAAGAGAGTGAAAACAATAGGCATAAGAAATAAAATTAATACTATAACGGAAAACTCTTAAAATCCTCATTTGAGAACCCACTGATCCAACAGGTACAGATTTCTAAAATGGTTTCTTATGCTACTTTGTAGTCCCAACTAGAAACCTGCAAAATGAAAAGCTATCAACAGGTGAGGAGACTCAATTATATTTAAAAAAAAAAAAAAGCATTTATAGTCTAGATCTAGATATCAAAAATACAGACTATATAAAATGAGAGTTTGACTTACAATAGTATATAAAATATCCAGCCTTAAACCTCAGGAAAACAGCACAATCATTGTGCCTAACTGTAATGAACCGTTGTTCCAAATACAGGAACAACTCTGAACCAAAAGACTGCACCTGTTCCTGCCATACGTATATAAGACAAACAGGGGAAACCCACAACCACAACTGACCAAGTGTGGTTCCAGTCACCACGGGACTTCTAATAAGGCATGCTTTCAGGAGAGAGATTAAAAAGATGATGGTATTAAATAACAGACTGAGGAAACCACTAGAAGACAGTTCTTGTTTTTTCTTGTAAAGAAGATTCTGAGAGATGAGTTCTAAACAGAAAATGCTTCTAATAGAAGAAATGTAAAAAAAAAAAGTCTACTTTGTCCATGCAACTCCTGGATTGCCAAGTGCTGTGGCAGAGAAGTCACATATCTGGGCATACTTTCCTGGTTTTCCTCCTTTCTCTTTAGCTGAGACTTATCTCCTTTGTAGTCTGTCTTCTTCCTCACACCTTTAAATGTTAACATTACAAAAGGTTCTGCATGAAGTCCACTACCACCCTCCCTCAAGTCAACTTCATTCAACCATCTCTTTCTCTCTCTTTTTTAGAGATAGGAGCTCACTATGTTGCCCAGACTGGACTTGAACTCCTGGGCACCAGTGATTCTCCTGCCTCAGCCTCTTACATAGCCTGGACTACAAGTGTGTACCATTGTGCCCAGCTGCACCCCCTCTCCTTTGAATAACAGACCCATTTAACCAGATGCTTGCTCAGTATCTCCACTTGAATAGCATGTACTTCAATTCCAGCATGCCTAAAAATCAAAACTCTTTACCAAATCCTATCATTTCCACCTTAATATTTACATCCCTCAAATCAATCCAATTATCTTCCTCTTCACTGATTATACACTAGTTCAAGTAGCCATTCTCTACCCCTTATTCCAAAAGTCTTCTAAGTGCTTCTCTGCTTCTAGACTTATTCCTATTCTAGCCATTATCTCCTCCATAGAACCAGAGTGATATTGCTAAGATGTAAGCTGGCATCATTAACTCCCCTGCTTAAAAACTTAACTGCATCAGCGGCACCAATAGCTCAGTCAGCAGGGCACCAGCCACATACACCTATGGTGGCAGGTTTGAACCCAGCCCAGGTCTCCTAAGCAACAATGACAACCGCAACCAAAAAATAGCTGGGCATTGTGGTAGGCACCTGTTGTCCCAGCTACTTGGGAGGCTGAGGCAAGAGACTCGCTTAAGCCCAAGTTTGAGGTTGCTGTGAGCTGTGATGCCATAGCACTCTACCCAGGGTGACAGCTTGCGACTCTATCTCAAAAAAAAAAAAAAAAAAAAACCAAAATAAAACAAACAAAAAACTTAACTGCATCATATTGTCTTTATAACCAAATTCAAATATCCAATTTATTAATCCAGCTTCATCCCTAATCACTCTATCACCTCAATTTCTAGCATCATGAATTTCTATTATTCCCACATGCTATGCTCTCTCTGCCTTTCAACTCTAGGCCTTTATACATAGTATCATCAGTCCAGAACATTCCCCTTTTGTCTCTCCCATCAACTATTATAGATACTTATGGCCTTGACTTATGCATTAGCTCCTCCAGGTGAAATGTATTTGGCATATGCCTATCTAGTACTCTGCACATACTCTATAAAACACTTGTTTCTCACTACTTCATTAGTCAGCTATTCTCCCCCAATAGACTGTCATCAGCAAGAGGGGAGGGATTTGTGCCTATTGTATTCATTAGTGTATCCATAGCATCTAGCATAGCACCTGGCATGTACAAGACACTCAATAAGTATTTGTTGACAGATGCAATATATAAACCACCATAAACTAGGTTTACATGGGAAAATATACTCAAATCCTCATGAATAAATAAAACTTAAAAAGACACTGCTACCACATAGCAGAAATACAAAGAAACATAAAGGTATGAAAGGTATTTCCTCGAGGCAAAAAAATATAAATCCATTTGATTAGTTAAGTATATATGAGCACTATATAGGAAATTGTTTCTCATAAATATGCATGTCCAAGAAAATGAAAATATATTCATTTACAACTTATCCCCCTCTTGCTCTTGGGAGTTTGTTTGTTTATTTAATGATTAACTGATATTTTAAAACAAGATTAGCCTATTACAAAAAATGCCAATTATCTCCCACCCTGAAGAGAAGAGTAAGGGTTCAAGAAGGAACTAGAATGGCATACTAGCATATAATTACTTACATAGTATTACATAGTATTATAGCATTGACAACATGATAGCCCATTTTATAAAAAGCAATATTGTAACTAGCTTAGCAATCAGAGAGCAAAGAAAAAGTGCCATCTTCATTTTCCACTGCAAGATGAGAAAGGAATCTCCTATGGATTAAACTGTATCCCCTCAAGTTCGTATGTTAAAGCCATAACCTCCAGTGTGATGGTATTTAGAGAGAGGGCCTTTGGGAGATAATCTGGTCTAGATGAGGTCATGAGAATAGGACCTTCAGGATGTGATTAGTGCCCATATAAGCAGAGGCACAGAGAGCTTACCCTTTCTTTATCTCTCCCCACCATGTAAGGACAACACAATGAGAAGGTAGCTGTTTACAAGCCAGAGAGATAGCCCTCATCAGAAACCTACCATGCTAGCACCTTGATCTTGGATTACCAGCTTACAGAACTGTGAGAAAATACATTTATGTTGTTTAAACCATCTATTCTACAGTCTTTTGTTATGGCAGCTCAAGCTGACTAATACAGAATCATACTTACAGTTGCAGGTTCCACATACTGGTTCCAATTTCAGACTGACTTCATGGTAGTATCTTTAAATTAAATAACACAAATGCTAGTTTTGAGGTTTTATTTTTAAGTGCTACCTTCCAGAAAACAATTTAAGAAAACTAAAAAGAATAAAAAGGAAACAAGAACTCATGAACAAGTTTAGTGCTAGCCTACTGGAATATCATCAATCTAGTAAAAATGGAATAAAAGATACTTACCACCACCAAGAATGTAAGAATCCTGGTGGTTCCCCCAACGTGATGTTTTTTTCCCATCTTATCTAAAATGAATAAAAGAGATATTAAATATTTTCCTAATATTTTTTCTAGACATAGTGCAAAGCAATATTTTTCCCACTTTAAATACTATGTTAATGTATAAGTTTTGCATCATTTTCCTGTCATTCTTTACCCAAGTTTTACAAGCAGTTGTTTTATACAGTGATTTGTAGACTGGATTACTCAACAAAAGATGTCACTATTATTTTCTTGAATTTGCTTCCCTCTGTACCAATCATTAAGCTTTGATTTTTAGTTAGTTCTAAATCCATCTTTCTGTGCACTTTAAGTTGCTGACATTGGGATCCATGTACCACCTTTGTCCTTCATTAAAGGACATAAAGGTTTTTATGAGATCCCATAAACTAAAAAGGCTCTACTAAAAGTAGGAAGAGGGGAGAAGAGGTTTATTTCCTGTGAACTTGTTGTTTCTTTCAGGCTTCCCCAGTAGCAGCAGTTCATCCCAGTGACAACAGCTAGTTCCCCTCTAGCTTTTTCCAGCACAACCAGAACCAGGTACACACAGGTGGCCAATACTCCCCCTCAGAGGTCTGAAGTTTCACGAATCTCCAATAGCTACACAGCTTCCCCTCCTTAGATGTCTAAGACTCAGCTATATGAGAGTTCTACTAGTTCTTTCTTTTGGTGTCCCAGTCTTAGTAAATACTTACTGTAATTATTGATTTTATGTAATTTCTGTGTTCGCTTCTGCTTTTTTCAAACCTGTACAGTTATTTCCCTGTATTACATTCCCTCTGCCAAAATACTTAACGTGCTTTTAATTAGTGTGCCTATATCCTGACTGACATACCACCTCCCAAACCCCCTCATACAGTAAGAATATTAAAAATGTATTCCTTCTAAGTAGGATGAAGTATGAGCATAAGCTTTAGCTTTCCTACGTACTAGCTAAGAGAACTTGGGAAACTTACATAAGTCTTCTGTGCTTCAGTTTCCTGATCTATAAAATAGAGCTAATAATAGTTGTCTACCTTATAGGATGTTATGAGAAATTACCTGGTTAGTACCAGAAAAACACTTAAAATAGTGACTAACATGCAGTAAGTGTTTGTAACTACTGGCTGCTATTATTATTTTTTCTTTCCTTAGAAAAGCATTCTCTGAAAATTTATTCCATCATATTATCACCAGTACCCACAAAATTCCAGTAATGTTCCACATAAAAATATTAGCTATTTATAGCTGTGCCTAACAATTTCAGCTTACTAATCAGAATAATGTGAAACACCTTGGTAGAAACTATACATACAGCCAGGGAAAAAGAACAGTCAGAGTCAGAACTAAGGAAGAATTATCTATGCTTCTGGAATAAATGGGAGAAGTAAAAATCATTTAAACAAAAAAGCTTCTAATTACTTGAAATTATTTGGGAATTAGTGTTCTGTTAAACTTAGTTAACAGGTGCCCATTAAAAATACCATACTAAAGAAAATCCAACTTTTGAAGTTTTTCTTTTTGTTTTGTTTCATTTGGTGAATCAGAAGGTATTTCAGGATCTAAGGAGCATCAAAATTGTCATTATTATCAGTATGAAAATCAGTTATCACCACCGACCAAGAAATTTGCAAGAGATTGTGCTTACTATATAGACTCTAAATAATACCTTAGGGTTAGGTTATTTAATAACTTTCTGTTTGGGATATATGTCTTTTATAAAATAAGGGCTTTTTAAAGATGATATTAACTTTCCAATTGTTTATATTTCAAATAAATTAGATTTCACTATAGTACAAATTTAAAGCAAGGTCAATATTTCTCAAAAAGTCAAAGTTCTGACTAAATACTTTTTGCAAAGTAAATTTGAAAATTGGAAATCTGAATGAATATTTATACAGTGACTTTTCTAGACACTCTACAACAGCAAACACAAAAAATAGCTTCCCTCATTTCGATTATACGCAAGGTAGACTACAAACAAACAAAAACAAAAAGGTAAATTGTGTTCATATTAGAAGTGACAAATACTATGGAGGAAAATAAAGCCAGGAAGGGGATAGAAAGTACGGAACACAGTGAAAGGAGCTACAATTTGAGGGATTTTTAAATTTTTTTATGAGCTGTAATTTTGAATAAGGTGGTCTAGAAAGTCTTTAAAATAATCTCTACATGTAGCTTTAGTTTTTAGTTTAAATAAGAAAAATTATATAACATTTGGACCTTATGTTTATATGAAATAAAGCAAATAATACTATAATGAATTAAATGAGAAGAATGAGAAATGACTTACAGAGGAGTTAAAGTGGCATGACTAGATCTTGATGCCAGGTGTGCTAAAGGGAGGATTAGACTGATCAGTCCCATACACCACGTGAGTTACCAGGCAGCCCCCTTCCCACACTTCCACCACTTCTATAAACAGTCACCTGCTATCTCAGGGGAACAAGGTCCTCTAGGAAACCACCATGTCTTATATTTGATAGGGTCTTTATGAGAGGAACTATTTTAAATTGTGTTACATCTTATTATTCCTCAGAAAAATTTTTAAAAGCTTCATATGCATCATCACTTCCATCCTCATAATACTTTTTACTATATAATCAGTACAGTTTATCTTTCTCACTTTAAATTGAAAGTCTAGGGGCAGTGCCTGTGGCTCAAGGAGTAGGGTGCCAGCCCCATATACCAGAGGTGGTGGGTTCAAACCTGGCCCTGGCCAAAAAACAAACAAACAAAAAAACAAATAAATTTGCAAGTCTATGCCAGAAGCAGCTAGAACTTTGGCCCATCATATTGAAGTTAACACAAAATCTGTCTCTTAATAGTTACTGAATGAATGTCACTGAAAGTTGTGTTTTAGTTATTTCCAAGGAAGAGAAAGTTCTACAGAGAATATGTTTACATAGTGAATGTTATGGCTCCTTCCAAACTAATCATTATTCCAGATACCATCTATTCATAGAAAACATAGAAAGGTGCTCGAGAAGAGGCAAGACAGACCACTGACCTACATAAAATAAATCAAATTTGTTGCAGCATTGTTAGAAAACCTGAAAATTAAAAATTACCTATGAAACATTCACCAATAGTAAATGTGAAATAAAACTTGATACTTATATACTACAGATCAGTGTGCTATCATTAAAAAGAATGAGATATATCTATTTGGAAAGAGAGCCAACACTCTATTGACTTTTCAAGATGGAGATTTAGAAGGGTACAGAACAGTATCTATAGTATAAAACCTTTCTGTTTGAAAAAAAGTGTGTATACTTACATGTACACTTGAGTATATATATGTATATGAAAGAAATCACACCAAACTTACAACTATTACTTGAAAAAGAGTAAAGGAGGATTTTTGCTTTAAATTATATCTATGTAGTTTAGATATATTTTTAATCAATATGTATTAATGATGTAAGGTGTTTAAGAATGGCTAAAATATACCCCCACGTGGTCAGTAGTTACTTTAAAAAGTTTTTTCTGCTGTCTGTGAAGAGGTATTTTTTGCTATACTGAGTTTCATGCATGTGTTGGGTGGGATCTATACTCTTCATTCTGTTCTTCCTTCTTCCATGATGTATTTGTAGTTCTCAATGTGTATTTCTCTAGTCTAAGGCTTTTTGTTATTTAATTATTCACCTCTCTTCTTTCTATTATCTGACTAGCTAGTCTGTATTCTCTTGCAACTTCCATATAAATATCAAGGCCCATTTTTGCTCCATATTCTGCATTTGAGGGCCTTATTTATGGTTATGGTTTATCATATGATCTAACATTTTCAGCATTTCTACATAATGCAAAACCACCAAATTATTAAAAAAAGGTCTATCAACAGGGATGAGATAGGCCTTATGGTTTAATAATAAACTATATACTGAGACAGCCCTTCTAGAAATTTATCCTGTATATGTGGTTACATATGAAAAATTATATATATATGAATAAATCCTATATATATTTATAAAATACACAAAAAATTTCATTGAAGCATTATTTGTAAGTACAGAAGACTGGAAACAATCTAGATGTCCATCAGCAGGAGGCTGGTGAACTTCATCATATGATGAAGTACCATAAAAAGGAGAATGATAATATTTAATAAATATAACAAATTTCAAAAATCTAAAAAGTGAAACAAAAATTAAATCACAGAACAGTGTATGTAATAAACTGATATTGATGTAAACAAACGAAAAATGATACACACAGACATATATACGTGAACATATATGGGCAAATGCATACATCCACTTAACTTTTTCTTCCTTATTTGCTTCTGGCAAGGCATATTGGTCATGAACCTATTATCCTTCAGCTCCACACCTACCCTCTATACTCTATTCTATACGTGGAATGAAGATTCTGAAAATTACATTTCCTAGCCTCCTTGCCATTTGGCTTTCTGTTAAGTTCTGCCATCAGGAAACATTAGCAAGAGATCAAGGTAGAAAGAAGCAGAAAAGCTTCTAGCCTCTGGCTCCAAAAGTGAGGCAGTTGTAGGCTGCTGTAGAAACCGCAGCAGGAACAGTGGATGTAGGGAAATTCTGGAGGTCAGCAGCACTGTTTTGGAGGTTCTAGCCTTGTCAATGTGGAACCTCTTCAGCAGATCCAGACCTGCTTTACCATAATCTCCCACAAGGCAGCAGCAAGTGTGATACTCATGGGTCCTAAACATTACACCGAATTCCTAAGTCCTTTCATGACTTTTGAATTTGAACCAATATTAAAAACCAAGTTTTAATATCATTTAAGGATAAAACCAGTTCTTGTGTTAAGAAAACAACTTGCATAATTTTATGTAAGTTTGTTTCCAAACAAAATTCCTAATACTTTTAATTTAGATATAAGCTACTGTTCCCACTAATTTTCTAAAATCTTCCATTTATATAAGAGGGTGTATCTATACCCTAAACCAAATGTTAAAAAAAAACTAAAGTAAAAAATTTTATACTTAAATTCAAAAATTAAAGCCAACAGAAGAAAAATAAGATTACTCTTTAAAACAGATAATCTAAAACCGTGCTGTTCAACTTGGTGT